CTCCTCCCTCCCTCCCTCACTCCACTCCTCCCTCCGGCCAGCGCGACCATCCTGCTCTAAGCTCTGGTCACATCTCTCCTGGACTACTGTATTTCTCTCTAGAAAGTCTTCTGCCTTGTGTTTGTAAGCTCACCTTGAGTTCCCTGAAAGGTGCCTTAAATGTAATATTGTCATTATGAATATTATAACATTGCTTTTCCCTGTAATGAACATGTTGCTGTTGATGCTCAGAGCCGGCGGCTGCCTGTAGGGCAGTAAACTCTTCAGCCTCAGCACGAGGACGTCTCATGACAGCCTCTGTGTTCCCCCTGCTGCAGGTGAGCTGTGCGTGGGGGGTGACTGTGCACTGAGGAACTGCTCCTGGACAGAATGGGGTGAATGGGGCTCCTGCTCGCGGTCCTGTGGCGTGGGCCAGCAGCAGAGGATGAGAACCTTCCTCAGTCCTGGTGCCAACGGCTCGTGGTGTGAGGACATCATTGGGGGGAACCTGGAGAATCGCTTCTGCAACATCAGACCCTGCAGAGGTCAGACACTCAGCTCTTTTAGTCTTTTTAGCTCTGACTTGTCTTCCTGCTGTGTATCAATGCAGTACAGGTGATTCTGTCCACTTAAGAGTGTGCATTTTCTGATGAAAGGCAGTTAAGCTATTACACAGCATTAAACAGATTTACATCACTCACTGATCTTATTCTGATCTAAATGTAGAGTTTCTGGTGACAGAAGGTGTGGGACTTGGTGCCTAATTTCTAAAAAACATATTTGTGTTAATCGTAACGTAAAAGATGTGTGATTTCTATAGAGAAACTCCCAAAACAAAAAGCTTTTTTCAGTTAAATTCTAAACATAAGGTTCACCCTGGATTTGCTGTGTGCTCAGTGGACGGAGGCTGGTCCAGGTGGAGCCCCTGGTCCCGCTGCGACAAACGCTGTGGAGGTGGACGCTCCGTGCGCACTCGCTCATGCTCCAGTCCTCCACCCAAGAATGGTGGGAGGAAGTGTGACGGAGAGAAGAACCAGGTCAAACCTTGCAACACCAAACCTTGTGGTGAGCTGGCCACACATGGACACACACTGGAGGGGCAGGTGGCTGTAACCCTCTGTGTGGATACATTAACCCAGCACACAGGGGGCTGCTTTTAAACCACTGTGTTGCACTGTTTGCTTAGCATTTTGATTTAGTATATTCCATGAAAGAGCCTGCAGCTTGTTGGGAGGATGCATGACCTTCTGTTTGTGTTTATTAGATGAGAAAGGGTGCCCACCAGGACAAGAGTTTGTGTTGTGTGCCAACCAGTGTCCCCAGCGCTGCTCCGATCTCCAGCAGGGCATAGAGTGCCAGGGCAGCGCGGAATGTCAGCCTGGCTGCAGATGTCCCAAAGGTAAAGAAAGCACTTCTGTTACAAACGCAGGATCAAGTCCTCCATGTCAGACTCTGGTCAGTCTGCTCATACACAGATGAACGAGAATGATCCCTGCTGACCTTAAAAACCAGAGTGGATTAGGGTGGCTCGACAGAAGAAAAACCTTAGTGAGCTCTAAGTGATTGGAAAACGCTCTTTGTGTCACCAGTGAAGACGTGTTGTTGCTGTGTCTCTTCTGCCCTCACTGCGGTCCATGGTCAGCCATGATAAAAGTATTAAGAGAGGAGAGTGTTTGACTGAAACTGTTGGTGTTCAGGTGGGCTGCTGCAGGACGGCGTGTGTGTGCACCTGTGGCAGTGCGACTGCCTGGACGCGCTGGGGCAGATGTGGGCGGCCGGCAGCTGGCACCAGCTGGACTGTAACAACTGCAGCTGCTCCGACGGACAGCTCCTCTGCTCCAACCACAGCTGCCAGGCGTCCTGTGTCTGGAGCTCCTGGTCCAGCTGGGCCCCATGCAGCGTTTCCTGTGGGCAGGGCCAGAGGACCAGATACAGGTGAGGGGCTGCCACTGGTTCTCCGGGAGTAGGTCACTGCTTATAGGATTACAGTCTCACACCAGTTGTTCTCCTTTGCAAAATGCCTGTTGTACCCCAGTAGAACTTAGTTCAAATGTAAGCTATCCTTGAAATCATTCAGTCGGCCTGGAAAATAATAGGGATGCTGTTAGTATAGAATTTGTGGCAATATCACCACAACTGGGATATATCAGATGGCATCAAGTATTAGAACACCAAATGAAGCCCCTGTATGCCTGTAGCCGGTAACACTGGGTGGTGTTGGTGGTGTTCAGCACTAAGGCCGTCTGAGGCTCCTAACTGCTTCCCAAAGCCCCTTTGAGATGTGAGGGTGTGCCCCACTTCCCCTCTGTCCAAAGAGTTGAGGAGTGATGGCTCCATTTTATGATTTTGGAGAGTTTTGGGGTGTAGAACTATGAGCAGTAAGTAAGCAGCATTGTACTCTTTCAAATATTCAGGTCTTCTTCCTTTGGATTTCTGCTCATGTTCCAGTGACCAGAGAGGAGGAGAGATGCTTGACAGCTGTGTTCTGTTATTCCAGGTCCCTTATCCCAGAGACTGAAGGATCCGTTTGTCACTTTGAGGAGATTCAACAGAAATCTTGCAACCCAGGAACCTGCCCACCTCTCTGTGTCAGAGCCAACCAGAGCCTCAGTGTGGGAGACACCTGGCTGCAGGGAGAGTGTCAGCAATGGTGGGAAAGAATACGGACAGCATTTCAAACTGAGCAGAACTGAAAACTGAGTGACCGTTCTGCTTTGCTTACCTGCCAGCACCTGCACTCCGGAGGGAGTCTACTGTCTGGACGTTGACTGCAGAGGTGGGTCAGGGTGGGACACGGCGCAGCATCACGGGCTCAGCCTCAGCTCACTGTCACATGATCCCATTGTCTGTGGTGCTTCCAGTGGACGGGGGCTGGACCCCCTGGTCAGTGTGGTCTGACTGCCCTGTGACGTGTGGTCAGGGCACGCACGTTCGAACCCGCGCCTGCATCAACCCTCCTCCACGGAACAACGGGACCCACTGCAGTGGGCCAGAGAGAGAAAGCCAGCCCTGCCAGACCCCCCCCTGTCTGGGTTTGTTCCCTTCTGCCCCATAGCCCTGTGTTTAGGGCCCCGGGCCTCTCTCTGTCTCCTCTTTTAGTCTCACTGCTCCTGTGCTGTCACGCTCCCTCAGCATGCTTCTGCCTCATCATTTCATGCAGAGGAGGACGGTTTTATGAATGAAAAAGTCTGTTCAACCCTTTTCCTCCTGTCCATAGATGACCTTTGCCCCTGGTCACCGTGGTCGTCCTGCTCCAGGAGCTGTGGGGCGGGCTCTGTGACACGCCACAGGGTCTGTGTGTGTGAGCAGGGAGGGGAGGCCGTGTGTCCCCCTGAGGCTGAAGCTGAGCGCATGAGTGAGGAGACCCAGCTGTGTTACAAACAGCCCTGTCCAGGTACCACCAGAGCACGAGACCGGTCTGCTGGTCAGACTCTGGGGGGGGGTGTGAGGAGATTCAGGGTGGCTGCTGACACTATCATCAGTATAATATCAAAACATGGAGCCTCATACAGAAAAGAGTTACAACAGTGCTGAAAATAAAGGAAATACCTGGAGTCCTGCATTTCCTGTGACCTTTACCTCCCATTCAAACTGTGTGAAGCCGAGATATTTCATGTTTTGTCTCATCTTTGATGATTTACATCCACCTTTCCCTGCAGAGCGTCAGGCGGGGTATTGGATGTCTGCTGCCTTTGTAAAATCAGTTGTAGCGTTATGACAAACTGGTGATGCAAACCAGTGACTGTATTTCTTAATGGGTCCCAAAGCTGCCTGCCTGACAGGTTGAAAGTCTGATTTCAAGCACATTTGTGGCTTAATTGTAGATCTTCACTGTTCCTAAATGAAATATTGGGGTGGATGTGTGTATTTCTCCTTGTGCAGAGCAGAATATTTTTAAAGCATTCCAGAAATCTGGCAGAATTTCAGCAAGCCTAAACTGGACATTGTGACCTCTGACCCCTCAAACGGCTCTGCATCAAGAACCACCATTAATCCACAGCTAATAGAAAGACATGGACAAAAGATCACTGTGGAAACTTTTGTTAGCACCACAGCACAAAGGATCACCCTTAATCCTACTTTGTGTTTTAGGAGAGTCACATGAAAAATAGAAAATAGCTCATTGATTAATAATAACTGTAGACTGTATATGAGGTCATTATCCCTGGTTTAGTAACTCTGCCCTCTGATCAGGAGGCAGGGCCACCAGGACCAGCCATGCTCCCGTTGGGCCGCATTAGTGATGCTGCACTAATGATGCTGAGAAATACATTTATAGCAAATACAAATAAGAATGACTGGATGAATAATGTCCTTTCTAGGCTGTCCCATGTCAGCGTGGAGTGTTTGGTCTCCGTGCTCGTGTGTGTCTCAGAGGCAGCAGCGCTACCGCGTGGCCCTCACAGCGGCCAGCAGGGGTCAGCAGTGCTCTCCTGTGGAGACTCAGAGCCGGCCCTGCAGTCTGAGCCAGTGTGAGGGTGAGTCCCCCCCCACCCCCCAGTGTCCACAGTGTGGGAACACACAGGGTTTCCGTTTTCTGATGCTTTATTGAGTCCCTTAAGTGAAATGTGAGTGTGTGTGTTGTGTTACTACTGTAGAGCTACAGTAACCCAAGTCTTTCCCCTTTGGATAGCCTGTGAAGCTCCATTTGTCTACTCTGCATGCGGAGCGCCCTGTGAGAAGCAGTGTGCCCTGCAGAGCGATGCAAATGTGTGTTCAGGTGTCAGGGAGTGCACACCTGGCTGTTACTGCCCCCAGGTAAAGTCTTCTTTGATCCATCCACTCTATCATTATCCTCATCAATGACTTAGTGTATCAGGGGTGTATGTTAGGAGGATGTAAGATAATACATATTTTCTGATATATATAACCAGTATGACCATATCAAATATCAAACCTTTCTATTAATAGTTGTGTTTTCTGATAATATAATGAATGGAATTCATATTGCATTCTTTTAAAGGACCAGTGACCAGTATGAGGTTTGCCTGTTCTTTGTTAAAGTATGTGATGTTTTGAAAGCTAATGAGCAAAACAAGTTTCCTCCATATTGCAGATATCACAGATGCAAACACATCATATCATTGTAGTGAGTGAAAGGGAGTTAAAGAAGTTAGCAAAAATGAGATACGGGGTGTTACAAATGAGTTTTCCATTTTCGTTGTGCGATGAAATGCCATCTCCTAACATTGTTTGTTCTGGTTTCCTGGTTGATTGATTGTGAAAACCTGTGGAAGGCGTAAAACAAACAGCATTACTTATTGAGTGTCACTAAGTGTATTTAGCTGAGCTTTCCCTGAAGAGCAGCCAGCTTTACGGTGAGCTGTGTGAGCAGGGCCTGCTGCAGCACAACGGGAGCTGTGTACATCCAGGGGAATGTGGCTGCATCTACCTGCAGCACCAGGCCTCAGGACACCCCCCCACACCCATCACTGTCCCTCAGGGGGCCACGGTGACTGTAGACTGCAGCACATGGTGAGAGCTGGTGCACACCACAGCTGTGTCAGAGCGCTGATGGAGTTTGTTTTTCTGATCTTTTAACACATAATTATCTCTGTGCTGCCTTCTATTTTTACAAGCCTTTGCCATGATGGATCTTTGCATTGTGACACAAGAGAGTGTGAAGGTAAGAAACACCAGCTAAACACGTCACCACCCCCTTACCTGTCTTCTCATTGGTGCACCTGCCCCCCCCTCTCTCCTCCTTCTTTCAGTCATCATCAGCGAGTGGTCCGAGTGGACCCCCTGCTCTCCCTGCAAACCCCGGTCCTCTGTGCAGCTCACTTCTTCACTAGATAAGACCATCCCTGGGACCTCAATGGTCTCAGTTCAGAGACGCTTCCGGGCCTGCTTGGACCTGGACTCGGGTCTTCCTGTCCCGAGGGAGGCGGAGAGCCAGTGTCCAGGAGCGCTGGTGGAGGAGAGGCTCTGTCCAGCCGCCGACACGTGCAAAGGTGGTGCTCTTACTTTGCTGCTAACCTGATTTGTGACAGCACTAATGAATGTAAGGGGCTTTGGATAAAAGCGTCTTCTAAACGCATAAACATGAATACAGAGAGAAGAAGTCGTAAACCCGTAAACTGTTTGGTGGCCGGTGACTGGGCGCTCCGGCAGTGGGGACTGGGAGCACAGTCTGGGCTGTGTGTGGTTCTGATGGGAGGCCTGCTCTTCCAGATCTGTGTAACTGGAGTGTGTGGAGTTCCTGGACAGCCTGTGCCGAGCCGTGCAGTGGTGGAATCCGGCAGCGCTTCAGATGGCCCCTGGCCTCCCCCCCCGGGCCCCTCTGCCGGGGCCAGCAGGCTCAGAGCCAGAGCTGCAACACAGGCCTCTGTCCAGGTGCGCTTAACCTGGGCTTCACACCCAGCTGGGCTGGAAACCTGTTCGTGACTAACTAAACCCAGTGACAACAGCTGCACCTGCCCAACTTTCATTTCCATTTCAAAAGAATGTCGTCACCTTAATGGTTCTGTATCAGTTATAGAAGAACGAAAAATGAAGTTTAGTGTCATTGGTACATTAAATAGATATATTTGAGAAGGAATTTGAATAAAAAACGATGACAGACTGAAGAGATGGATAATATGAGCGGTAACCAGACTGCCTGCTTCTTGTCAGAAAGATAAGTCTCCTCCTTTTGAGCCTGAGGCGCTGAGCCTCCTGAGCCGCACACCCCATCAGAGACAGTTACCTGCTGTCTCATTGTGTGCCACACTGTGTGCTCATCCAGCTCATCCCGCTGCTGACACTAATCAGACCGGGTTGTAAGGAAGCCAACAGTTTCCCACAACTTTCTAAAACTTTGGGTTGAGGAAAATGTGCTACTAAGGCACTTTGCGGTGTTTTCTCAGAATTCTCCCCATTGGAGACTTTTTCACTTGCCTGTAAATGAAAGCTAGAACATGCTTTCTGAGTTTCTGTGTGGGGGGTGGATGGGAGTGACTGTCAGTGTTCTGTAGGCGAGCGCTGTGAGGACAGAGGGCGCACGTATGAGGACAGCTGCGCTAACCAGTGCCCTCGCAGTTGCACCGACCTATGGGAGCATGTGCAGTGTCTCCAGGGAGCCTGTCACTCAGGTAAAGCTCCAAAGAGCCTCCAGAATGGCCGCGCGTCTTCACCCTGTGATCCGGAGTGTTTTCTGCGGTCCCTGTTCTCAGGCTGCCGCTGTCCGGGGGGGCAGCTGCTGCAGGACGGCCTCTGTGTGCCGCTCACAGAGTGCCGCTGCGGCGTCCCATCAGGCAACGGGACGCGGGAGTTCAGCCCTGGAGAGGAGCTCCTGGCTGACTGCAACTCCTGGTGAGAGCGTGTCTGTGTGTATTGTTGGAGGGGAAAAGTCCATGATGAAATTATAGCCCAGAGAAAAGCTAGTCTCATAGTAGAGGGTGTTATTCCAGAGCAGAGGTCAGAGGTCACAGCGCTTCACACCTGTTGCTGTTGTTCTGCAGTGTGTGTGTGAATGGAACTCTGGACTGCAGCAGACTGCCCTGCCCCGTGTACCAGCCCTGGAGTCCGTGGAGCCTCTGTCCAGTGTCCTGTGGGCCTGGCCAGAGATCAAGGACTCGGAGCTGCCAGGACACAGAGGGGGGCCCCTCCTGTGTGGACACCACACAGACAGAAGGCTGTGGTCTGCCACCATGTCCAGGTCTGAGCATCCTCCTCCTCCATCCACAGCAGTGCTGTTGTGAAACCGCTGACCGCCTTAGTGAACCCTGGCGCTCCTCTGTCTGCACACAGCGGGCTGTTTGCTGAGTGAGTGGTCCTCCTGGACCCAGTGCAGCGCCACCTGTGGAGGAGGGGTGTCCATGCGAAACAAGACCATGCTCCAAATGCCGGAGCCTGGTGGGGCAGCCTGTGAGGGGCCCCGCGAGCAGCACGCTGTGTGTAACACCAACAGCTGCCGGCCAGGTACGGCCTCTACAGCAGAAATCTCTTCACAGGAAGATTTCCCTCTGATAAGACTTTGTGTGTTCCTCTGTGTGTGTGTGTGTGTGTGTGTGTGTGTGTGTGTGTGTGTGTGTGTGCTGCAGAGTGTCCCATCAGCCAGGTGTTCAGTGATTGTTCTGGCTCCTGTCCGTTCACCTGTGAGGACCTGTGGCCACACACCCAGTGTTTTCCTGGAGCCTGCACCCCGGGGTGCACGTGCCCGTCTGGACAGGTCTCCACATCTGTGTGCATATGTGTGTGTGTGTGTGTATGGGCGGCTGGATAACCACATTCCTACCAGTCTCATGTGTCCTCCACAGGTGCTGCACGGGGGCTCCTGCGTGCATCAGGCGGAGTGTCCCTGCTCGCCCCTGTCCTTACCCGCTGACCACCACCGCTGGAACACCTCCACTGAGGGCCTCACAGGGGCCCTGCTGCCCCCCGGAACCACCGTCCATCACCTCTGCAACACATGGTATGTTCATTCAGTTCACTCCAATGAGGTCATTATCATCTCTACAGGTGGAAAACCAGAACACATTCAGACAGCGGCAGGTAGAATGCGTCCGGTTTGAGCTGCTGTTTGTTACTGAGCTGTGTGAGAACGGCCGTGGACGGGGGCCTGTCCAGGGTGTGCTGTGCTGACCAGTAGGGTGACACTGTGACTGGGAAGTGTGTGTGAAATGATGAGGATTTGATTTCTGAGTGGTGGTGATGACAGCTAATACTAGTCATATCTTAACTCACTTGTATTTTCTACTCCACAGTGTGTGCCAGGGGGGGGTGTTTAACTGTACCTCCGAGCCCTGTGACGGTGAGTGATGCATGCACGCTGCAGCTGCTCTTCTTCCACATTACATCACCATGCTGACCATGCTGACCACTCTGCAGCGTCACATCAGCCACAGCCACAGCATCACTGTGTTTTAAATCCCATGCACCCACTTGTTGTTCACACAAAACAGAAATACATAGTAGATAATCCAGGTGAGACGCATGATTATTTATAAAAACGTCAGTTAAACTTGAATTTCTCAAAGGTTGAGAGTGCTGCAACCAAAGGCTGACAATGTCAGTAGCCCTGAAGAGAAATAGTGGAGGAGCATATTGAAACTAGTGCGGTCAATCAGCCTCAAGTCTGGAGCCTGACTGGGTATGAAAAGAGCACCTTAGTGGTAGAGTCTCTCAGAAATGAAATTCAATTAGGCAGAGATTCAGAAAGCTGCAGAAGACAAAGGCTTAAGAAGAGCCATGTGTTTTAGCAGTGGGTCATACAGCTGAGCTGTAGTGTTGTGAATACCGACTAATGAGCCAAATGCAAGAATAAGACCTAACCTGGCTCCAGAAGAGGGGGGCTGTTTTAGAGAGAACGATGCTTCCTGTGTGCTCCTGTAATGTCTCCTGCCTTTCCTTCTCAACATCTCTTTTTGAATATTTCTGAGGTCTTTAGAAGATCAGTCTTTTTCTGGAATAGGACTTGTATTCCATGGCGTGACAGGAATGCTGACTAACTGTGGCTGTGTCCTCCTGCCCGGCAGTGGACTGTGCGTGGTCCGGCTGGTCTCCCTGGAGCCCGTGCTCGGTCAGCTGTGGAACCGGGCGGCGCAGCTCCAGCAGATCTGTCCAGAGGCAGGGGCAGTACGGAGGGGCCCCGTGTGAGGGCCGCAGCCTGAGAACCTCCACCTGCCTCGCTCCTGACTGCGGTGAGGGGGGGGGGGGGGGCCGCCCCCCCAGGGGGGGCGGGGGGGGGGGAGGGGGGGGGCTCTGCCTTCAAACCTCCCTCAGCTCAGAGGGAGCAGCACAACACAAGCTTTTTATTATCAGACCAAACATTTCACCGTTAATGTGTTTTTGATAGAGAGCCTGATGAGGATCAGTAAATCCTGTCCTCTTTTCTCCACCCCCCCTCTCTGTCCCCTCCAGCGTGTCCTGACGGGGAGCAGTGGAAGCGGAGGGTGTCAGAGGAGGCCCCCCTGTGTGAGCGGAGCTGCCAGGACATTTACTCCTCCTCTCCTGTCAACTGCAGCCGCTTCACGGATGGCTGTGTGTGCCAGGAGGGCTCCTACCGAAACCCGGAGGGGGGGTGTGTCATCCCCGCCCTCTGCCCCTGCCATGACCAGGGCGTCCTGTGGGAGGTACGCACACAGACATGCACCCTCACTCCGGGTCAGATGGTGGGCAGCTTGTGTCCACTGAAGCGTCCCGTGGTGTTTATGTTCCATCCCATTCACTCCCATTGTGTTATTTACTCCTAGAGAAGAGCCGGTTAGAGGATAAGCGATGAGCTGTGCGGCTGCATTGTACCACAAGGCCTGAGTCTCATCAATTATGTAGGAGGCTCTGACCACAGCCAGGCATGCCTGCCACAAATTATTTAGGAAGGGGGATATTAAAGGATCATCAAATTAATCACACACTGACAGGAGGTCACGTCGTTCTCTGTTCTTTTCTCTTTCTCCACTCATAGTTCTTTTCATGTGCATGCATTTCCTTTATTTCGGCTCCTTTTACTTTTTTTTCTGTCAGTCGGACAGAACTCTGTCAGCTGAGGATGGCCAGTGTCCTCATGAGGACCATCTCATGATGGACAGACACATCCGCTCAGGCTTAGTTCCTCCGTTTGGCTGTTTGAATAACATATTGTTAAAGTTACTGCCTCTTGGTATACCACATACATATATATATACTACTTAGTAAAGCATCATAATGGAAGTTTCGCAATATTTAATGGAGAATGTTGTTTATTTTAACAGACCCTGAGTTCCCATCGAGGCCTCATTCCACCTCACGTGTTTAAAGAGCTGCTGAGTGCTAACGTGTGTGTTTGTGTGTGTGATCCAGGCGGGGTCAGAGTGGGCGGAGGGCTGCCTGTCATGCAGCTGTGTGAACGGCAGAAAGCGGTGCCAGAGCAGGTGTCCTCCTCTCCACTGCAGAGAGGTGAGACACAGCCTCCTCCTCATCACTCTGTCAGGAGAGCGTGCTGTTTTTATGCTGCTTTGGCCGGATGCAAGAGAAGAAAGGGACAGCTAACTGATAAATATGTCCTAATTGTTCCTAATGCTGCCTCTATCAGCCCATTCCCAGTTGCTCTGATGTATTATGCAGGAATACAGCACACAGCATACCTCTTATTACTCAAACTGGTCAAATTGAGCAAAAATGTATTGGGTTCAATGGTTTTCACCTGGGAAAGATCGGTAATATCTTCAAATACTATCAAAATAAAATTCAAAAGTAGCTTATGGAAGTGGCCCACGGGGCAGGGGTGGGTGTGTTTCTGCTCACCAGTCTTCCACAGGGCTATGAGGAGGCATTTTAAAGCTCACTCCTGTCATTGGCTTTATTTTTGTTTGGACATTTAAGTTAGCCATAATCCAGTAAAAGCACGGGTTGCCTCCACTTTTGAGAGAGAGACGAGCGTCAGAGCTCTGGGCTCTGAGTTTAAGCACAGTGGCTGTGTTTTACCTCAACTACTTCTCCTGACATGTGGTTTATGTCCAGGCTCTGGGCTTTTTATCAGCAGACTTGTGACTTTTAGCTCATAACTGTCCTCGCATAGGAAAAGGCAGGGGGGTGTTTCCGTGCCTTTTCCATGGGTGTCTGTGCTGCCAGCAGCTTTTCTCCGTTTCTCTGGAGTGTCCTGGATCTCTGCTGCTCTCCCCGGGTCCTGTGTGTCCTCACCCTACTCCCTCACACTATTTTTGGTGCTTTTACCTCATTTCAGGTTTCCACAGCATGGTGTAGAGCTACTTTTTCCCAGTTAGTGACTTTACATCAAACATGAAATGTCAGTCAGTCATTTCAAATGTTCTCGTGCCATTCGTTCATTGTGTTTATTTAGTCTAGTTACCTTGTTATTTACGTTATGTTTTTCCATTTTATTTTGCCTCGTTGCTTCCACTCTCAAAGTGGTTGTCATCTAACGTTATTCTCGAGAGAACACTGGCCCACGTACCAATAAGCGCTGACCCCCACAGGAGGCCAGCCTCTAAACACTGCTCCAGACTCTGATGGGCCTCAGGTGTGCAGCCTGCTCCTGTAAAAGCACACCTGCCCAAATGAAAGAGCACACCCCAACAACGCCCACAGTCTCATACACCACTCATTGTTTCTAATGGCAGCTACAACTAGGCACCACGCACTTTTGAGTCCATGACAAGTATATTCTATTCTATTTAATTCTATTCTACCCTGAAAGATCATAATACTTTAACCTGGCTCTTTCACTGAGTTAAAGTTATGTTCTTAACTTTAAGACCATGCTTTCCTTTTTATTTCTAAAACTCAGGCGTGATACTATGCTGTAAATGGGGTCCCTTGTATATAAAACTGACTGTCAGCACTATACATGTCTGTTTCCATGAAGACTGATCTAAATTTAGTTGATAAGACGAATCACGTCATCTTTCTCCCAGGGTGAAGTCAAAGTAGAGGAACCAGGCAGCTGCTGTCCGGTCTGTAGAAGGGAGTTCCCAGGTTAGTGAAACCTACACAACACAGAGACTGCGTTGCACCGTAGGTCTGCCTGGTGGTGCAGGGTGGAATAGTTATCCCCATGTGTCACAGTCTGCTTCAGTCTGTGGTCTCTTTTTCCCTACTTTGTTTGTCAGGCGAGCCCGAGTCGGAGTGTCGGCGCTACGTTCAGGTCCAGAACATCACCAAAGGAGACTGTTGGCTTGACAATGTGGAGGTCAGCTTCTGCCGGGGACGCTGTCTGTCCAGGACGGACGTCATCTTGGAGGTCAGTCTGTGACAGCCACCCACTGAAACCCACAATACTGACCAATGTCTCCAGTGGAGCCTGTAACACAGCAACAACCAGCACAAATGACCGGAGTGTGTGAGTGTGAGGGACTGTAAGCGCTCTGAGTGGTCAGCTGGTCTGGGAAAATACAAAAGTACAGGCCATTTACCATTAGCCGCAGGCTCTATGAACACCCTGATGAATTCTATAAGCAAGCTCACTTTACCCAAACTGATTCCAGTAAACATTGTCCAGGTTGTTTTGGTCCATTTTACATAATAATGACAGACACTATGTATATGGACATGTAAGCCTAGAATGGGAATAAAAACAAGAGCACTGAAATTTTAAGGCTGAAATCCTAACAAAGCCACATATTCTTGTTTGGAATAAAACGTGGAATACTGAGTTGAATTTTTGTACAGCTTTCAAGACGTTGCTGTCAAGCAAGAACAATTTGATCGTCCTTTAAAAAATGGCAAACCAAATGGCATATTCATTCAATTTGAAATTCTTTAAATTCTTTATGTATTCATTGAGATCCATGATTGGTGTCCTGGGTGTTGCCCTGCATTTCCTCCCTTGTCCCTGCGCTCTGCAGGAGCCCTACCTCCTGTCAGAATGTGAGTGCTGCAGCTACCGGCTGGACCCGGACAGCCCGGTGCGGTTCCTCAGCCTGCAGTGTGAGAGCGGGGGCAGCGAGCCCGTGGTGCTGCCGGTCATCCACAGCTGTGAGTGCACCAGCTGCCAAGGTGAGACAGGAGGAGCCCAAATGGATTTGCATGCAAATATTTGTCAGAGGTACCAGACATTCCAGTTTATGCAGAAGTCTTTGTGGAGATGCATGAATTCATCTGCTGCTCTTCATGCTGCAGAAGCCAGTTAACCTCGGTCAGATGTTTCTGACCTCATGCGCTGTAAAGCTGTGGAGAGCTGGCATGCTGACAGGTGATCAGGGACAGCCTGTGTCTATTTTCTCCTTTTTTAAGCTTTTTCCACAGTGTTCCAAAATGGAAAAAAAGCTCTAAAATCGACACAAGCCTTTTTTTACTCTACTAATGGACCTAAATCTGGTGTCTGTTTCAACAAGTGGATAACCCACAAAACAAAGGTCATACTGAGGAAGGCTCGGTGTTAATAGGACTGGCCTCACAATGTCAAAAAAGACATATTTACATTTCACATCACACATCATGAAAACAATGCAATTCAAGTTCATCACACATCATCATCAACAGATGAAGAAAAGAGGAGAGTACGTTCAGGAGAGTACCGTCTGACACAGTAAATATCCAGGGATTCATTACATTCCTGATCAAATTGAGTTTGGAACTTCTTCTGAAGCATAATCATCATTAATCTTTGGCTCTGAAATAACGACCTCCACACTCTTCTCCAAAGATTCATGCACAATGAGGCCTCAGTAAAACATGTTCATCTTTGTCAGGGTGAATAATTGAACGGGAGTTCCCCCTCAGAAGCAATTATGCACTAATCCATTCATCAACATGGCTGATTGCTTTAGTTAATTGGATGTAGCCACAAGCAGCTCAGAACAACAGCAGCCTCACTTCCACCTCCAGGTTTGCCTGATCTGGGTTTAGTTTGATCACTCTTTGGTTTCAGGCTTTTTCAGCCATGTTCCCCTCGGCTCCTGCTGCCAGCTGCAGGGGCTGTTGGAAAAGCCGCCGTCCTTTTTAGCATTTGCTGAATTAAACTGCTTAAACACAATGCTTTGTTGTTAATTGAGAGTGGGATTAATCTGTCGCATACTGGGCAGATACAGTTACATCTGTTGGAAAAGCTGAGAGCAGCAGGGAGGAAAGGCTCCCATTGGACTCTTTTTGCCTTTATATCCATCTGTCTTTTAATTAAAACCATGAATGTTTGACAAAATGAATAAAGTTATAGGTAATGAAATGGAAGACAGAAGAGCAGGATCAACTGTGAAATGGAATTCGGTGAACTAAGCTACTATCTGCATGAGCCATTCCTCCATCCCAACCCTCACTGGTAGAATCTTCTGTAGCTGTAGGGACGACTTCTGATCACTCAAACAGGCCATCTAAGCCTTTATTTTTAACATTATAGACTCAGTCTTTACACATCAGCATGCAGTAATCCATAAATGTCCTCCCTGCTGATGGGGAACCCATCGGCATGGGGTGAGCGTAGGCATTGGCTTAGTGTCAGTTCTGGGCCGGGTTGGAAGAGCCAGGGCTTCTGGTAAGGTGCTCAGAGACCTCCCTGACTCAGGAGGCTGCACTTCCTGTGACAGTTCCCCTCTCATGAGCTCACGTGTGAGTGCTTATGGCAGGAGGGTTCCTGTTAATGTGGGTGCAGGTCCCACGGCTTTTTATACTTCCACTTTTCTGAGATCGTCATTTGTCTTTGGTTTGTTGAGAATTGCCCCGAAGTTGAAACGCTGAACGCTGAATAACCCTGATGTCCTGATGTTACAGGACTTACAGAGTCACAGATCTATTCAGTGAACGAGGACATGAGTGTTAGCAGCTGCTGCCTGTGCTCAGAAGGCCATCCATCCATCCATTATCAGAACAACTTATTCCCTAATTGGGTCCAGGGGAGAACTGGAGCCTATCTCAGTGGTCAATGGTGAGAAGCGGGGTCACCCTGGACAGTCCATCACAGGGTTATTCATACAAGGACAAACAACCACACACTCCCTCCTAAGGAGGCCTTCAGTAGTAATTCTGAGGCCTGAGGGATGCTTTGCCTCTGGCTCCCCCGACAGATACTTCAGCTTTAATCATGTGTGAGGCCAGGTAACCATCAGCTCATGGTCTGTTTCTCCACAGGAGACCTGTCCAGGCGCTGAGCGAGTGGGGGGTGCATGAAGAACACAGCCCTCTCCTTTAGGGACCCCACACTCACCCAGCCTCTTACAGATGGATGCTTCTGGGACCAACAGATGGATGGAGGGCTGGGGTTGATAAAGACTGTGTTTTGTGGTCTGTGTTCATCAGGTGACGTTGTGCTTCACCTGATCGTAGAGTTCTTCTTCTGCACCTGCTTTATCTGTACAGTCTTTTTCTATTGTGTATTTATAGATTCGTACACAGTCTATGTATTCAGAGGTGTTCCACTTGCATGTTTAAAGGAAATACAATCAGCAGCATTCTGCTTGGGAAAAACTTTGCCTGATTAATAAAAATGTTGACATCTCTCTGTTGCCTTCGAGCCCACTATATATTTTCAGTGTTATTCCCCAGTGTGTCTCCCTCTAGTTCCCCTTCCAAAGAGAAACTTCTTTGGATGAAACAGAGACTGTGCACATGAGAAAGACTCCCAGGACTCCTGGAGCTCTGCACAACATCGGATCTCAAACCTAAAAAGTACCACTGTACCTTTTTTAGTCAACACAATAGTAAACACTTTTACCCACATACTGAATTCAAGTGACAAGAGAACGCCTCAATTAATGCTTTGAATTGATAGTTAATTTTCTCCATATGGAGCAAAGATGAATTCTTTGACTGCATATTGTGGAGCAGGGTCCCTTTGGCCTCCCTCACACTGATGCAGGCGGCCCAGTTTCCCTTCCCGCCTGGATTGAGAGTCAGGGATGAAAGTTTCAGGCAGCCAGGTATGCAAAACAAGTTGATAGTTGATGCTCAATTCTGAACCTTCTTTTTAATGACTGTGATTGGCTGTCGGCCTTGTTTTAGAAAATAAAGCTAGAAACATGCATTTAGATAAAAATAGCAAAGAAAAGGCTGGAGATGTGTTCAAAGGCTTTTGGCTCAGGTTAGCCTTTTCCTTCAGACAACTGCTGATCCAGCTTTTCAGCACACAGACGCCCTGCTTTCCCTCATTCAGACCGTGTCCAGTCTGCTGCACCTCTGTCCACCTGCTGCCACCCACCCTGACTGCCTCAATAAGGAATCAGGCCAGGGACATTTCTGAAAAGAAGCATTTGTTCCTGAAGTGTTTGATCCGAGAAGCTGTTTGACTGGATGTGACCGTGTCTGAGGCAGGCAGTGTTGCATTATTTTTCATTTTTTTATTTAACAAAATGTAAAAAACGACCAAGTCATCTGAAGAAGTGAAGGAATTGATCCACATCTCATACGGCATAATTAATTTAAATGATTTCTTAATGTATCCATCCTATTAGCACAAAACTTAATTAGATTTATTTTGCTGTAGTATTTATCTTTGTGGTAATAGGCCTGCCTTTCAGCTTGATTTGTTTCATGAGTTGTTAGCCAGCACATTTATGAACACATGGCAGATAAACCTCTTTATGGGGATCACTTTATGGCATGTCATTTTTTAAATCACAAACATAATAAAACAATTAGACGCTAATCACCAAGCTTATTAAGGCAAGCTGGCATGTATATCTTAGATGGTAGGACCTACCTCAATGTGAATAACTCTACCGCGTAAGTAAAGCACCATTCTCAAGGCTTTGAGGTTCCTCCAGTGAGACATTTTATCTTGGCTCCTACTTTTGATGCCTCTGAGCGCTTCTCTTATTCTGCTCAGGCTTATCCCACGTAATCAGTCCATACAAAGAGACATTTTATATCCAGTTATGTTCCTCATATAGTTCCCTCTTTCAGGTTTTAGGACGTGAAACAGGATGCTGTGGACACACATCAGGCCACTCTAAATGACCAAAAGGCTTCACCAAAAAGCAATTGGATCATGTAGAGCAGAAGGAGGTTTAGTCTCCACCACCACGTCCACAGCAAACAGCCACCAGACGTACAGTTCCTCTGGAGCCCGTAATGACAGACAGAGACATAGAACAGCACCACCTTTGCCATCAAACTCCTACCAGAAACATTGTTCAGTGACAAAGATGGAAGGAAAGATGACAGCTTTCTTTTTCAAATGAGAAATCTATTCTCATGAATTAGAAAACAAAAAAATAGTCTTACTCTTATATATATCTAATAATCTCATATTCCCACATAAAATAATCTGATATTTCTGCATATATCCTATTTACCTGCAATTTCACTCAGAGCACCGGCGGTAATATTAACTTTCAGTCACCTACTAATGCACTGATGATCTAGATGGCTTTGTATGAAAGCAAAGCTTTAACATTAGTGACGGTATCTGATTAATCTGTTTAGGAGACCAGCCTACTGCAACATTATTTATATGATATACTGTAATACTGTGATTCATAGTTAAACATATATAACGTGTTTTTTTTTAATTAGATTTATTCAAATAGTCAGTCTCCCAACAGGTTGGGTAAAAGGATAACTTAAGGTTTGGTGATGGTTCCTTATTGTGTCATGTGGGCCACTTTCACTTCACATTAAACAGAATAGGTTTTAACTTTTGGATTCAGAATACGCAGAAACCTTTTTCAAAAACAACAATATGTGAATAAGCCTGTGTATGAAGTCATATGGGCTTCCTTAAACCCCACAAAATCCAACAGTTCGTGAAGGCACCATCCATGCCATGACAACGGGGGAACCCCTTCGGTGTGACGTCATTCAGCAGCTAGGCGGTGAGTCCCCATCCAACAAGAGGCGTAAAAAAGCAGCATCACACCCTCCCGTCTGCACCTGAGCCACAGCTGCGGGAGGGGGGCCGGGGGGGGGGGGTGCTCCTCTTCCCAAACAGGCGTAAGCTACCGGGCGTTTTTCCGCCGTGGCACCGGGGCTGGCTCAGCGTGAGTGGGCGTGCCCACCGGATCCTTCCTGCTCCCGAGGAAAACAGGTACAGCTCCGGTGTCTGTCCACAGCCTGCCTCAGCGTGCACGTGTGTGCGTGGAATGAACCATGACAGACCCTCAGCTGCGTGCACGGACCGGGTCAGCCCCGGCCAGCCCGCAGTAGCTCCGCGGGGGCTCAGAGCACATCCACAGACACCTCAGGGCTTATTTGATGAATGGATGCAGTGAGAAGGCGCGTGCCCCTGCCCGTCACCGGGAGCGCGTGCGTCCTACTGACTAAAGGGTTAAAGAGGCGCCGTGAAGCGGGAGTCATCTGAGTCCTGCAGCCGCGCGCAGCCACAGGGGGAGACGGACCTCCTCCGAACAGACACCGGGTCCAGCCACCGGGTCCAGCCACCGGGTCCAGCCACCGGACTCAGCCACCGGGCTCCCCGCGGCCGGGCGCGCCCCTCCTGTAGTAAGGGAGTAACGGAGAAGCGGCGGAACAGGAGGCAGCCTGCGCGGAAACGCTGCTCCAGCTATGGCTCACTCTCCGGCGGGGGGGTGCTGACTGGAGCCCCCCAGGAGCCGGCGGGGGTTAGGGGGGGCAGGATGAGAGGTGTGAAGCTGGGCTTCTCAGAGTGTGAACCCCAAACCCGAGGGCTCCGCCAGACCCTCAGCCCGGGAGGGACTCAGATCCGCCACAGCTCCTCTGACTTTCTCCTGGGGCTCCGTCGGGTCTGAACTACTTGACAAACTTTGGGTTTCAAATTCCAGCCATCGAACTTGCCTGCGTTGCGCACCGTGCGCGGCAGGCTGAGGCACCGTGCGCGGCAGGCTGAGGCACCGTGCGCGGCAGGCTGAGGCACCGTGCGCGGCAGGCTGAGGCACCGTGCGCGGCAGGCTGAGGCACCGTGCGCGTTGTGGGGGTTGAGACGCTGCCGTGGAGTGATAACAGCCCCTCAAAGCCTGTGGAAGTCCGGAGCCGACAGCAGCCACCATGCCGGTCCGCAGGGGCCATGTGGCCCCGCAGAACACCTTCTTGGATACCATCATCAGGAAATTTGACAGTCAATGTAAGTTTCTATTCTTTAAGATCGTTAAGAGCATCTCTGTGAATTCGGATGTCTTATTTTAAAACAGAGTAAATGACAGAAGGTTGAGCTAAACCTCGGAGATGATGCTGAGTGGCTCATGGTTCTGGTATCAGTGACGCAGCTTAAAAGAGATGAACGGGGGCATTCCCTCAGGTAACAGTAGCACATACAGAAACAACGTTTTTATGCTTGTTTCTCATCACAACACAGTGAAAGCTTGACTTAAAGATAATTAGTTTCTACCAGTCTGCTCATGGCTGCTGAGTGATGGAGTCAGAGAGGCAGGCTGAGAGCAGCAAACGTCTGCCTCATTTAGGTTGGAATGTTTTGATGTTTTGTTGGAAACTTAAAGGTACGTTTACAGATGGCAGTTTATTTGCCTCATCAAAATGATCCATATTCCACTCAGCTGTCTCTGGCTGGAAAAGAACAGAACAAAAACTATCAGAGCATCTTGTTGTTCAGAAGACGCTGTCAACATTCAGAACACAGCAGTGTTCCACCTGTTTAGCCGAGGAAAGTCTTCAGTTAGACTGAAGCTCTGAAAGTGTGAGCTGACATCATGTTTCCCCAGCAGTGTGTTTCTACCCCCCCCCCCCCCCCCCTCAGGCTGATGGAGAGGGGAGAAGCAGCACGCTGTCAGAACCAGTGGAAAAATGAAGCATCACAGCTTTGGTGATAGAATGGAGTGGAGGCTTGTCTTTTGAAACTGTTGAAATCTGTTTTTGTTGATTTCCAGACACTGGAATCCTGAATACTAGCACAGGTTACATCTGAACCTTTTTAGCATCAGTGAGGAGCTCCACACCTTCACAGCTGGTTTCTTAGCTCAGTACCAATAACAGGCTCCAGGCTTCCATCCAACCAGCTACTTCACTTCAGTTTACACTGGTTTATTTCATTCTGTTTCACTAGTGACAAGGAAGACCAATAAACACTAGACAATTTGGAGTGGAGACAATAGAAAAGGAAGGATTACATAAAAGAACATGAGCCAAAAAGATGACTGTGGAATCTGGGCACGTGAGGCTGTGTGAGTGTGTGTTTGGGTGAGAGCGAGCAGCCCCATTTCAGCCCTAACATCACACCTAATGGAAACAACAATCTCTGCTATCTGTAACAGGAATAACAAAACCATCACTGGTGATAACAATAGCACTAGTACCAGTACCAGGACTGTCACAATGATAGATACATGCAGCTATGCTTAGGACACCAAGACTAAAGGTAGGAAATGATGAGAACCATGCTGCTGATCCAGAGGGATGACAGTGTCTGCATGTGTTGCTAGTGTCAGGCATTAAGGGCCATATCTTATTTTTATGGGAGTGGTTTAATTTAACTTATTCTATTCTCTCTTATTATATTATATTTTATTTTATTTTGCTCTATTGTACTTTCAATCTTATTTTTCTCTCTTCTGTAAACTGGTGCACTGCAAGAAAGGAATTTCCCGCCCCGACTCTGACATCACCAGTGGCCGACGGCTGTCCACCGTACTGGCTGAATATGTGAATATTTTATGTGTATGTCTGTGTACATATGTTTTATTGATGTCATCCAGTAAAAGGAGTGAGATGGACAAAGGTATTGTTGATGTATGTGTGTGTGATAATGATAATAATAATATGTCATAATCTTAATATAAACTAAGAGGTTCTTTATCCATAGTTTTTTGATTAGTAAGTTTTCATATAATGTGGGAAAAATTAGGTTCCTTGATATCCAGAAATGGGGGTGATGCAGCAAACGGTTCAGATAGATTCAGTGTTTGTGGTAGATGTGAGGTGTAGTAGGTGTGAGGTATTCTGGGAGCATGTGGAACAGCTCTAGTTGCACCCATCCTGCAGAAAAGCGCGCTCTGTGGATTACCTGTAATGTCTGAGTTAGTAGTTCTTGTAACCTCGGGTCCAGGAGTCTGGATGGGGGCTTTAATGGTGGCACTGGTGATATGCCTCAGGAACACACAGTCTTTCCTGGTCCGGCTCCAGCACAGGCCACCAGAACCGCTGCCCCCCAGGCTTAAGTGTCGGGCAGCACCGGGGTGGCGGTTTGAGTACCTGACCCCCTCAAGATTAGACAGGCAATTTGATGGTCCAGTACCTGGTCCTGGATCAGGGGAGAGGGACTCCTTCCCCCGCTGCTCAGCCTCACACTGGGCTGCCCCTGGACAGCCAGCAGGGAGCACAGGCTCACAGGGATCACTGGACGCCTGGTTCTGTGTTTGGAGGGGAAGCATCAGGCTTGAGTTTATGGGGGCTGGGAGTGTGAGAGCGGGGAAAACTGATTCAGTCTGAGGAAAGTCCGTCTGGCCGGTCCCGAATTTAGATCTAGCTTGCTGAAGGTAAGCTAAATTCTTATGATCTGTCCAAATAACAAGGAGAGTTTCAGATCCTTCCAGCCAGTGTCTTCACTCTTCCAATTTCCATTTAGTTTACCTCACCCCAGCAGTTTATCAGAGCTGGGGCAGGCTCCAGCCCCCTGTGACCCTACTGAGGAGAGGCAGAACAGCAAATGGAGGGCTGGGTACTTTCCATTAGGTGCATTTTCTCTAACAAAAGGTCATCTAATGCTGTATTTTTGTAAATCAAGCATTGTGTCTTGACAATCTTATTTTCTTTGATGAAAAATGCATGTAAAATTCAGATTGAGTGTGTTTCTTCTATTAAGATAACACAGCCTCTTGGTTTCTCTAAACATCTGCTCTCTCGGCAGATCATTGGAATTTAAAAGCATAGGAAGTTTTATGTTTGTAGTCCCAACAAATGTTGTCTAGGCACTTCAAAAATACAATCCAACCTATTATTTATTCAAAGCCATAACTGCATGTCCACCAGTCTGCAGGGAGGCCCAGCAGCTTTCAGATGCAGACAGATGTGTGCAGATGTTAGTCAGACTTTAACAAACAAGCCTATTTACTCTTTGTAGATTATTTATAAGGCATGATACTGGGAGCATGCTCACCACCTTCAGAGGAACAGAGGTGATGACTGCCTATCCCAGCTGTGCACGCCCTGGTGTCTCATGTTTCAAATATTCATTCAGAAGCGTGTGATTAATGGCTCTTTAGTGTTTGAATCTGTCACCTATTCTTCTTGTGTTTTTAGAGGAGTACATGATTTCAGGCCAAACAGAAACACCACAGCCTGGAATGAAGCGTTTAAGTTGACAGTGACCTGTCCCACACTAACTATGAGCAGTGACCCTCTCATCGCTGCTTCCCTCCCTCGGCTGCTTGCAGTTAAGGCTGCCCTGACTGGCCAGAGGGTGTGCATTTGTTTGAGTATGTACGCATTTGCAAGTGGCCTCGGCAAAGAATGCGTGATGCAGTCAGGGACAGCGTGTTTACTCATCTGGCTTTCTGTTTGCACTGCCTTCCACTTGTTGAATAAAACATAGAATTTTTGTTGATCTTGCATCTTAAGAGCAAGAACTCATTGGAAATATAGGTAGGAAACAGTGAAACAGTGTTTGTGAAATGTAGCCCTGGTGGCTTCCAGCTCGTGTGTCATGGCTGTTACATAGCTGAGTTGAGAGCGTCTCTGCTTACTGTGCACTGATCCTCTGCCACGGATCCGTCTCCGCTCACTGTACTGTGATCCTCACGCCTGAAAGCCATGCCACTTTACAGACTCTACTGTCTGTGTTCTCGCTGTAATAACAGCGCCTCCTCTGACCTCTGAGATGCCACAGCCAACATCTGAGTCCTGTTCCATGCTCCGTGGAAAAGTTGGCCGTGGGGAGCGTGGCCCCATTCTGCAGCTGAAGGACGGAGCATTATCCCAGCAAAGTGCCCCACACACTCTTCCAGCCACACACTCAAAATCCATTTATTCATAGTCCAGACCCATTATTCCAAGTAGGTTCACCGGAGCCTGTTCTGGCTGACAAGAGGCCAGTGGTGGGGTACCCCCTGGACAGGTCTCCAGTCCATCACAGGGCCACGCAGAGACCAGCAGCCACACACTCACATTCAGTCCGAGTACACAGAGGGCCCCCACAGACACACACGTCCCCCGTCACCCAGGAACTCAGACCAGGAACCCCCGTGCTCAGAGCCTTCAGGATTAACCACCACACCAAGAAACAACTCAGACCCAACAAACTACCAGAACATTTCATGAAGTCCTCCGTTCAATGAGTGGCTGAGAGATTGTCCTGATCTCTGGTGCTGAGTCAGTGTTTGCAGCAGCTGTATCTAAATGAGAGCTTCCACAGGAGACAATCCCAGTTAGATCTCACACCCGTGCATGGCTTCATATGCCTGAGGGACTCGCATAGTAATTCATCACTGGATAGTGGCTCTGACACTTATTGTTCTCTGGCCTGGCCCTCTCTCTTCTAAAGGTCCCATGGGTGTTGGACATGGTTTGCTAGGAGCTTTCTTTTCTTGATATCTGTGGACTCTATCAGTACTGAACCAATACACAATTCCCATGGTTCAGGGCATACATCCCAGATCCCAGTGGGGTTAAAGCCTGGACTCTGTGGTGGCCTGTCCCTGTATGACAGTGATGTCATCCTGAGGTCATCTTGACATTGGCATCTGTTAAAGAGCCTGTGTCGTCACAGGAGAAAAATCTGTTGATGGACTTCCTGAATCTGTTGTCTGTCAAACCTAGCCTCAGATAGTCAGAACAAATGGACGGACTGATAAACTTGCTGAGCATGAGCTCTGAAGCTGTCAGCTGACTGGCTTTTTTGGGCTCACAGGATTGTTGAACTTGTACCTTACCAGATTATTTAAGGTTTAGGCATGGTAGCACTAAGTCCATCTGAACAGAATTATTCTAGTTTGATAGTTTCTAGTTAACTGAATGTATTATAACATAATTTTGGTTTATTGTTTCCTAACCACAGCTGTATTAAAAAATATGTGTTTTGTGTCCTAAAACACAGTTCAAACACGCAAGGATGGAAGGAAAGCAGAAATGTACATATCCCTTTTATCAAAGACTCCCAGAGCAGAAATTCAGACTGGAAAAATATTGGAAATGAATTGATAATCAGGGTCTTTAAAAAAATGAGTATACCCATACTGTCGACCAGTCTGGCAGAGGTCAGATAGCTGGATCCACCCACAGGTCATCCTAACCTCACAGAGCCTCAGATGTCGTATTTCAGAAATGACCCGTTCAGTACGGTTAGACCTGACCCCACATTCAGGTTCTCTTACAGGTCTGACAGTTCCTTATACCTTCCTAATGACACTAACAGTAGTTTTAAAGTCGTCATGTTCCAGAAACATGAGGGACAACGAGCACAGGCAGCACACAGGGCTCCTGCTGACCCCCTGTGGAAGGGGAGCGGTCACTAAAGGGCAACTTTGAATCGACAGCATGTAGCCAGTGGGTTTTTCTCCAGCTAGAACGTGTTAGGACATCAAATTCAGCATGCCTGAAGACTGTAACCAAAGTCTTCTACAGGGACGTTTTAATCCTGTAAACTGAGGGGAGTATTCTTCTGCATGGTGCACTCAAAGGGAAGGCCATCCCGGACCATTTCAAGAGTCCAGAGCAAATAGCAAATAGTCATCTGCAGAAATGGGACATTTTACAGCTTTTCTCCATCGCCCACTTTCCGTTATGTGATCCTCCTGGTGTGTTTAGATGATCAAACCACGTCTACGTCCAGCCTAACAAAATGCTTCAGTGCAGCACCACTCCTGAATAGGTAGTGGATGGCAGAAGCTTTCTGTTTTCTCTGGCCATCTGTTTGATCTGGAGCGTGTAAACACAGTAATGCTCCTGAGTGAGTCACTGCTTCAATATTGCACTTTATTGGTGTGAAATAAGTCTTGTGTGGCTCACGTGCTCAGAGCTTTGTCTCTTTCCCTCTTCCCTTTGTGCACATACACCCACACATGTTCTCATGTTGTGGAAGGGTTACACAAAACACAGGACTGTTTGCATGCACGCTCACCCACTGGGAAACTCCTGGACTTGTGAAGACTACAGCCATCCCTCTCAACCCCTCCCGTTTGGGTTGACACAACACAGACCATGTGCAAAGTGCCTATTTGAACTTTGCCAAAGTTTAAGCAGGTATGATCTCCCAGGTTCTCTGTCATCCTTCACCTGTGTTCCTGTAGTAGCATCTACTGATAGCTGCCCTTCTCCATCCCTCTCACATCCACAAAGTCCTCCTTCAAAAATGAATCTAGCCTCTCTCATTTCTGCTGACTTTTCTGTGGTGGTGGTGGTGGTACAGAAAAGCCTGGCAAACGGACTTAAAAGACTGAGGTCCCCTGTTTCCTGGGATTAGGGTGAATTTGCATGAATCTGCATAACCTTCTTCAGGCACAGAGGCAAGTGGTACACGCTGTAGCCTTAAACACTTGAGAGCCAAACAGCCCATTAAGGATTGTGGTGATTATGGGATTATCATTCTTAACGACTGTTGGTGGATGGATGGGTATGTTCTCTCTGAAAAGGGCCATGTTGCATGACTGACTGCTAAGCTTTGTGGAGGGCGAGGTGGTGCATGACCTGCATGTTGAGATGTGGGCAGAAAGAAAAGCACAGTGAGGTGAATGGACCTGACAGGCATCTGGTCACTGTAGGTGTATGGGCCTTTTGGACAGAGTACTACTGAGTTAGTAACCCTCCCTCACACTGACACAGTTTGACTCAGTGGGACATGTTCATCCTCATCATCATCTCTCCAGTTCATGAAGTCCACAAAAATACAACCACATACAAAGGTGTTGGTGTCTCTTTTTGCCTACATTCATGCGTGTCTTTTGTCTCTAGTCTCAGTCTCTCTGTGTGAGGCCAGCAGGCACTGAGCTGGCATGTTGACTTGTCCATCTAACACATCGGCTTCCCTCCTTTCCACCTACACAGCACTCAGGGAGATTCCAGACACATACAGACACTCACACATGCATGCTCACACACACACTCACACTGTAAGGACACACACACCAACAGACTGCACAGCACCCAAGGTCTGGTCTTTGTGAATTATTCAGCCTGCGTTGGCGGGTCTGTTCGTCTATCTAATAGATGTATGAATATGAATATGTGTGTTATGCCTCAGAAATCTGTGCATGCACGTCAGTGGAAAACTAACAGCCGTAGCTCCATTTAATCAGATTCTCCATCAGCTCCTTCCTTTGTGGCTCCAGTAAGTCATTAGAGAAAATAGTGAAGGCAAAGGAAGTGCTGTCAGAGACAGTTGGAGAGTTCTATCCACTAAATACCAACACTGGACATTCTGGCTTGTGGGTAATTTCCTTGGAGGCCAGATAACCATCCCTCAGAAGGGTGGGCTGTCAAGAAGAGAGAGGAGGGAAGGCAAATGACGGACAGAGCTGTACTGAGCTGACCCGAAGGTGTCGCCAAAGCAAGAGAAGAACAAATCAAACTAACTAAAAGAACAGAGGAAAGATGAGCTGACTGTGAAAGACAAACCGTCCGGGAGAGTCACGAGGATGAGACCATCCAGCTGTCAACAAAGGAAAACTGGGGGGATCCTTTTTGTGGTTGTAATTACCAAGTAAACACTAAGTGAGAAGGCCAGTGATGGAAGTCAGGTGTGACATGGGAGGTCAAATTTTTATCCAACTATCTAAACTGATGGAACAAAACCAGAATCTAGTCCCTACAACAGCAACAGGAAGCCTGAGAGGGAACAAGCACAAAGGGACTCCAAGACAGAGTGTGGAATGAGTAGCAAGCTGCAGAAGATGGCAAGAAACTGAGAGGAAAGAAACAGAGAGCTTAGATAAGGGAGTGTGAGGGGTTAGGGTTAATGGGGAGACCAAGCGGCTGATTGGGGAAAGAGGCGGAAACACAACTTAAACCAGAATTAGACAGAGCACATAGTCAGACAAACGAAGAACAGGAAACAGGTTACTAGGGACACAAAACAGAAACTAAATCCAAACTTAACCCAAAAACAGAGTCCAGAGCCCACAAAAGTGCAGCTGCTGACATGTGGAGTACTGAGCAGTTTCCTGCTGCTGTCGTCACCACACACTCACTGTCAGGCCTAACTTTGTGTTGTCCTGCTGTCCCTTTTATCCTGCAGCCTTTTCTCTTCCTCAGGTTTTGGTTGAGTGACGATCATGCTATTCAGCTTGAGGGCTGCATTTGTGCTGAGGCTGCATTCTCTCCCTATTTGCTTGTAAGAAATGCGGCCACGCAAAGATTTAAAGAGCTTTTGAGAAAAATGAAGAGCACATTTTCTGGTCTTTGGGTTTTTTAACAATATGAAAATGATTTATGCAATGATTGGAAAATGTCAAATGTGCACACAGCTCTGGCTTATGTGGCCCGTCTCTCACCCACCAGCCTTTATGAGGCTCTCACTCACAGAGGAAGGCCAGGCAGCACCTCCACACAACGCCCTCTCACTGTTTCATGAAAAGCTGAAAAGACCTGCAGTTTATGCCCTCCATAAGAACAGCAAACCAGTCCGGCACGGACAGCTTTGACAGGTACCGGGTCTTCCTCATGAAGTAATGGCCAGGGGGCTGTGATTGTGATGTGCAGGGAGAGATAGGCAAAGACATTTCTATTCAGAAAATAGATTATGAGAATGTATTCAATGGCGGGTGTGCCCCCAGAAAGAGTATGAGATGAATGTAGTAATCTTCCAGAGGTCCTGCAGGCTTGGGGCGGATATCCCATTTATGCTAACTGTCTGTATTTCAACTCAAAATTCAATGCACAGGGACAGAGGATGCTGCCTGGTGTTCTTAGGAGTTCTTTAGTTCTGCAGACCACAAAGGGACACGCTCAGGGTGGACAGATGGGTGACCAGAACATAGCAGCTTTTCTGCATAGGGGCTGTTAATGAAAGCTAAATTAATGAAACAGAATATTTTCCCTCTTCCCTGCAGGTCGAAAGTTTCTCATCGCCAATGCTAGAGTGGAAAACTGTGCCATCATCTTCTGCAATGATGGTTTCTGCCACATGTGTGGTTACACGCGGGCTGAGATCATGCAGAAGCCATGCACCTGCAACTTCCTGTACGGACCCGACACCAAGCGGCTGGCCATCGCCCAGATGACGCAGGCCTTGCTGGGCTCCGAGGAGCGGAAAGTGGAGATCAGCCTGTACAGAAAAGACGGTAGGGAGTTCAACATAACAATAGAGGTTTTCAGTTTTCTTTTTTCTGATAGAGATCAGGAGTGTTATCTGACTTGTGCTGGAGGTGAATCTGGTCTGATTGCCTGATGAATAAATGCTGCTGTGTTTCTTTTTAAAAGTGATGATGCATTTACAGAAATGATCAACAGAGCTGTGGAAGTCAGGGCATGTGTGGGTATTTAACGTGTATGATGATGAATTTGTTCAGTTTAGTCTGCAGCCTTCAATCAGACTTTTTCTGATGTGAAGAGCACATAAAGCTGTGCATGTTTGTTTTGTGTCTGTTTGAAGATGACAGCCAACAGGAGGAATGTCACCTGTGCTTCTGTTGCAGCTTGTGCCGTTAACCTTTTGCTGGCAGACATTCTGGTTCTGGTACCTCTGTGCTAGTTATGGCACAAAACTAATGGAGGCTTGAACAGGTTACAGCTGTTTCTCTTTGTTTAGATTTTCTAACTGTTGATAGTTAGAGATTCATCTCACACATCTGAGCACACATCCCACACAGCAGGGTGCTGGTGAAGGTGTGCAACTCCCTGAGGTATGGTTAGAGCTTCTGCTGGACATTTCCCACCTGTAGACAGACACAAACCCAGGTGAAAACGTAGGAGAGCGCGGCTTGGAACAAACTGGGGGGAGAAAATAGGTCAAGATGACATAAGTAGTGGGAAACCGATTTTGAAAGAGAAAAACAACCACTGAGTGAGAAATGGAATGGACAAAGTGAGAGGATGAAATTATTTCTCACTCGGTGTGAAAGCAAAGTAAAAAGAGAGAAAAGGGAGATGATGCCAGCGGCCAGACATCCTGCCTCATGCCAGAGCTTCTCCTCACTTCAGTGTCCACAGCTTACATGGTGGTATGAAAACAGAAGGGTGCTGGGGTCAGCTATTGGGATGCTGACCCACTGGCTGTGTCGACCACTGGTGGGAAGCAGCAACATTTAGGGGTACTCAGAGCTGGGAAGCACCACAGATCACCAATGGACAACATGAATACATTTAATTTCTTTGAAAAAGAACCACTGGAGATAGCGAGAAGTCAATAAGGGTACATACATGGCAGATAAGCAGTGGATTAGCTGAGTGAATTCAAGTGACTATAAGTACAAGAAGCAGCCCCTGAGTGTGGTACATTTACACAAAGAGCTCCCAGCCTTCCTCATGGTTCCACGCGTATGAATCTGATTCCTCACCTGGGACGATACATGCTGTGGTTCAGTTTCTGCTCAGGAGGGCCGCCGAGGCAAGAACAGTGGATTGCTTTTGATTTACTCATAAAGGAAGAGTACAGTGAAATTCATCAGCTTCTTTCATTTCCGGTGACACAAGCCTCCAACCAGCAGCCACCCCCCACCTCCCCCCTCCCCCTACAGCAGATGGGGTTGACATTAAGCAGTTGAATTAGAAGTAAGTTGATGACTTTTTTACTGAGCAAATCGTGAGCAGCAGCAGCAGCAGCTCGGCCTGTGCTGTTTGTAGACAGTCGTGAACACACACTCAACACACACTCATCACCACAGTGCTCCATGGATGGATTTCTACACTTATGACAACTAATGTTCTGCAGCTCAAGTTTCTGGATGAAATATTTTAAGTAATACGTATGAAATATGATACTGTTAAACATCTCTATCATATCCATTGGTCGAAACATCTTTTGTCCAGTGATTTCTGGGGATACCTAAAATCTTAGGCTGATTTTTCTTTTAGCAATGGCCTTGCATAAAATGACTAAAATGTTACTCAAAGAAAGGCACCTTGTCGACTCAAACACAATCTCAAAGTTGCATCCTTGAACTTTGATTCTCAAGCAGTGACAGAAAAGTTGAAATGGATAAAGACATAATGTGTACAACATATCAAGCTGGATGAATCAGTGGGTCATTTCTGGATGTGCACAGAAAATCTGTGTTTGCAAGAATTTTATGATCACAAGCGACCTGACATTACAGCCTAACCGCACATAGCTACTGTTTCATCACTAAATACAATCAGTTTCATTCAACCATCCTTTTTAGAATAAAGTGTCTGGGTGATCGGCCACAGCCCCGGTCTGCCTCTGTCCACCAGTGGTGTGCAGGTACACGGGCTGTAGTCATGTCATCATACACCCTCAATTCAGAAGTGCTCTGCAGGCCCAGAAAGACACCAGCAGCCGTCATCTGCCCTAAGTTTCTTTCATGAAAATGTTTGGAGCGTTGTGATGCCGTGATTCCTCCACAAAACTCAAAGCTCCACAGCTGAGCTGCGAGGACATACCCAGTCCAGAGGACTGTGGTAGACTGCCTCGACCCACAAAGAGCTGCTGATCAGACCCCTTCAACAGGTTCTGCTAATGCTACGGGGGAAGACGTTCTGCTCCCTCAACAGCCTGATCTTCAGGAGCAAACTGAACACTGCTGTGTGTTTTTTGTGTAACGCTGAGAACTGTGCTCACATGGACAAACACACCACATTTACACACAATGCACATGCAGCTTTGTCTGAGCTCATTTATCTAGTGTCAGGATTTGGCAAAAGCCTTCAGGATGATCGATCGTCCCACTTACTTGCCTGCTCAATTGTCCGACTCTATTGCTCACCAGCTTAATCAATCATGTGATCCAGGTACTCCGCAATGAGAAGCATGCGTGCGCGTGCGTGCGCGTGCACATGCAGCCACTGAGCCGTTGCATGCAGATGCTCCCAGAAGGGGCTGCGGCTCCAGTTGGTTACCTCAGCTTATAGAGCAAACTTTTTTCTGGTTTGAATACTATTTTTATGCACCAAACATATTTGACACATGAGAGTTTTTCCTGTGGCTTTTGTCATTTCTTGGTTAAATTAGACTTTGAAGATTACAATGTTGGTGTTTATTTATTTCAGATCCCCAGACAGAATTAGCTTGTGGCATTTTGGACACTTTGTCTTAGTTTCATATGGGATAGGAACACTGAGAGGCTTCTGGCTGATATGCTAATTACAGCTGCAGATAGGCTGATTGACTCCAACACCCTGAACATCTGCACAGAGGACGCTTTTATATCTGCTGTTCCATCCCAGGATGTGTGCAGCTCCTATGCTGGGCCTTTGGCTGAAATGAGAATGCAAAATGGTCAAAACAGGCTTTGTAACTTCAGGTGAAGTAAGTATGAGGAAATCAGTGTTTTGGGGGTTTTTTTCACCTCTGTCTTATCTTACTGAATAGAAACCAAAAGCTGTGAGCTCCTCTTTGTGCTGGGAGTGTTTCAGATCAGTATTAGTAATAAAAACCACAAAGAGGGTTACAGTGGAAAATAAATGGAAAATAAAAACAACCCTATTCAATAAGACACACTACATGATCATAAGATTAAGAACATATCCCTTTATCTGCTCTTCCATAACGACCAGTCAACATCTTAGCCACAATAGCTGAGCTGGACTGTCACTGGTGAGGCCTGTGGGCAGCTGTGTCAACACCGTCCACCTTATCTCAGCTCTTTTAGCAAAGCAGAAGTTAGTGTGTTAGTCCATGTGGTTGCATGTCATACATAAGCAGCTGTGTCTTCACTTCCCCAACAGCTGCGCGGCACTAGCGACAAAACATTCAAACAGAACAAAAAGGCTAGATAAAGCTGATACAACCCGTTAGTGGAAGTATAGAGAAACAGGGTGTAACACAAATAATACAAATTCTACTACTGGACAAACCACCTTATCAGAAAAAAAGAAATGTGTTTCTGCAGAGTCCGGCTTTTACAAAGGAATCAAAGCACAGCTTGGAAGCAATCAACTTAAGGGTCGCCAAGGTCAGAGCAATAGACTTACATACCCCGTCAGACTAGAACATAAAGACAAGTCCAAACCAGCCTACCAGTTTGGAGCAAGAAAAGTGGTGGAAAAGCCTGACCAAACTTCCCATCTCACAAAATGATCTCTAAAATACAACAGTTGCTGTCAACAAAGCAATAAGCTCAACTACAAAATCAAAGAAGGGAATTTCAGAGTCAAGCTAAAACCCAGAAGGACAGAGGAGGGGCATTGCCCTGGATCTGTGGAGCTGGGATGCAGTTCCCTGATGAGGAGGGACAGGCTTCTGCTGTGCAAGGAGGAGTGACAGCAGGCCAGACAACCAGAGAGAAAAAACAAGCTCTCTACCATTAAGTCAGTGGACGTAACAAAAGCCTCTCCCAAAGGTGGCTAATCCTCTGGGTGCATGTAAATGAGCACGTATACCTGGATGGCATGTTCCCGTGAGCTCTATTGAGCTGTGGCTGTTTAAAACCTGCAGCAGCTTGGACCAGAAATAGTGGTTGTGTTATGAGCATTGATGGACTTATGAACCATAGTTATCACAGCAGCCATCGTGTGAACATGCCTCTCTATTGGCTGACTTAAGCGTGTTTTTCCCAGCCTATGCAGCTCATAACTCACCTGTTCATAAGGCTCCCCTGTGGCGCTGTGGGACCTGAGCACCGGGAGGCTGCTGCTGGCTGAGGGGGTGGGTGGAGGGGGGCTGCTCCCACTGCCTAGCAGCCGTAGCTAAGCAAAGCACTCAGAGCTCAGCAGCCTCTGAGCAGAGGTTATCCCTGTGTCTGCCCCCGATGAGCCCACCTCTATCCTCCAGCACATTACACGAACACACTAACACACCTAAAGGGACCAACGTGGACACTCGTCGCCCACACAGCACTAAACCCCAGCTTTAGTTTTAAAACTGAAGGAGGCGGCATCCACAAACAGACATGCATCTGAGGCACAGCACAACCAGATATGTCAGGAAGGACACCTTTTTTAAACCTCATTACACTTTATGTCACCTTGTTAGAAAGGTGTACCTTCACCAGGAGTGGACTCTGTGCACAGTGGAAACGGTCGGGGGGGCGTCGGGGGGGGCCTCTGTCAGTGTGCGTCCGTCAGCGTGCGCATTTTTCTCCTTTTTTTCTGACACCGGGATAATGATTCATGACACGCTGCAGAGTGATACTGCTGGATTGTTTGTGTGCCTCATCGAGTG